CAAGCGTCTTCATGCATCAATATCAATTCCAACATGTCGGCCCCTGCCATCATAGTTTTTAAGGTTAAAGTCATCTAAACGAAATTTGCTGAACCATCGTTCACACTTACGAACGTTCAAAACATTTTCATAAACTTCTTTGTTATTCTTTGTGGCTATAGAAGCGTTGTTTTCCTTCTTGTATTCAAACAGCATTACAGCCGAATGTGTGTCTCGTCGTATGCCATCACTATAAGGGATTAGAGTATACTAAACTTTACAATTATATAAGCTACACTAACCTGACGTTTAAGCGGTTCGTTTAACTATTATACAAGGTGTACGGTTTTTATTTGGGGGGGGGGAGAGTTAATGAAAGTGTTCCTAAAAGCTACATTAATTTCTTGACGACCTAATATTACTATATGTTAATTCTTGCCTTATATAGGGATGATGCAAATGCCATCCCTATTATCTTGTTTGCATTATTTGTAAGGGCTTGATATTAGCTATCCCTACATTTACTTCCTTTTTTGAAAAGATTTTCCTTCCTTGTAACAGTAGATGTATTGTATTTTCCAAATAAAAGAAAACGAGGTAACCTTACTAAGACTTCCGGTATAAGAACATTTCTACAAAACATAGTTTCTGACTCATGCTTTCGTCCAAGTGAACACACCCTTTTTTTACAAACATTTTTTTCCTGTTTATAAATGAAAGGTAATGCAGACATTGAACATCATCATAATTTTCTTGAATCTTGCTCTCGAAGCTCGAAATGTGTACCGTTTATATCACGACACCAAGTCACGACAGGGTCACTTCCATGTTATTGCAAGGTTAATGACATACAAACTAATTATTATAATAAGAAAAAAAAGAAGACAGTTAGTGAAATACAAAGATAATAAAAAAGCCATAGTGAGTGTGGGACTTAGAAATATCATACGTTGTACGACTTTTGCGTCATGCTGTATAATATAAAAAAATACTATGCCGAATCTTCTTACTGATATTTTTCTACACATGAACTTAACATTTGTTCATCTATGTTGTGTTATATTTTAAAATGTTGAAATAAAATAGTCTTCTGGATTTTCTTACCTTAATTTTCTTGTATGGTATACCTTCCCAGGTTACTTTATTCGTGTTAGAAATAGGAACATGTTATACCAAATGTTTTTCCTGTTAGAAGAAACCGACTTCTATGGTTCTTAAGAATTTACATATACTTCAAGTACCCAAAAGGTTTCAGTGGTCTCCTACCTTTGTTACTCTTCCCATGTATACAGGCGTAGATCCAGCACACAGGGGTTACTACACATACAGTGAGTAAAATGGTTACTGCTAAAATTCCCACACAGACGGCGATAACCAGCAGTTTCTTTTGATTAGACAATTCCAAAACGTTTACTCCTTAAAATAAATAATAGAAAAGTAGTCGTAATGCAAATACTAATGAATTATCAATCATTTAAGAAAATAAGTTGCATATAGCATGTTTTCATTTTTTTAGCATTATAGATTACGTAGGAGAATAAAAACTTCTAGAATCTAACTTTAGATAATTGTGTCACATTGTTGAATTCAATTATTTATTTAACAAAATAAAATAAATTTAAAATTTTATACAAGACTTCTGTAAAAGATTCTTCGAAGTTCGATTAATTAGAAGACACGATTTCATGATTTAATGTAGGGATTATATAAACACATGTTATATAGTTGGAAATTGAGAATATCTTTCAATATCCCCAAAACATCACAGAAGATAATAGATATTAAATACATTTTCTGCATACTATAATATGTTTTATCCACAAATCAAACTCATACTGCTAAAAAACGGGTTTCGATACTCATGGTTGATACAATACAGATAGCCCATTGTATAGCTTTGCGCTTAACAACAAACAAACAATAACCGCAAGTCATAAAAATTTAATAATTAATCAAATGTTTATCATGCTGTATTTTCGAATAAGTGAAAAAGTAACCAAAACAAGTTTTTCGTTGTGTTTTAAACAGCTTTTATAAATTAAACATTTTTAATTCCACAGATATGTTAGCACTACCTATTTTGGACAATATATTGAACAAGAAAAATTACCACATGTTAATTCGGCCTCAAATATTTTAAGATAGATTTTACTAAATATACAATAGGTAACAAACAGGAATCGATCATTAGAAAACAAAGGAATATGGATCAACTTGGGGTACCCAGGTCATCCAGAAAGAGACCTGCAGAAAGTCGTGCCAGCTGTGGTAAAGAAAATACGGCGTTTTGTAAGAGGTAAGAGTGCATGAACACAGATGTTAGTGATAAAAGTCGTCCGCAAAACTCAAGCAACAATACGGAACATAATTAAGAAGGAATAATCTGGAAAATAAACACAAATCACGCTCATACAAATTGTTTCTACGAATATTCATTCAACCGTAACATACCTCAAGTAGCTCAAAAATGAAAACGATATTCATGCTATTCCGTATGAAGACATGCTAGTAAAGTTGCCGGATCAGTGCCTATACATTTCTGTATAATCATAAAGTTTGAGCAGGCACTGAGAAAATGTTGTCCTTATACATTAACTTGATTATGGAAAGCATGCAGGAAAGATAGGTGTGCTTTGAGCATAATAACCTAGGGTGGAGCCTTTTGCAATAGAAATTATGATGCAGGGCTATTGTTAGGATGCACGATAGTCATATAGAGCATGGTCAGGCGTGACGACATGGTGAGGCTTCAAAAGCATTTTATCATAACGTACCCAACCTCAATGTTCTTATGTAGCAATACGAGTCAATGAGTGGTGATTAAAGCACGATAGTGAATAGACATATCTATCACACGAAAATACATTTCAAAACTACATGTTTCAATTTTCTCTATCCTGGTAGACATTTGCTCCTTTTTAATTTAAGAAAAATATGCAACTACATATGTTTATGTCAGCTATATTGAAACTTTTCTGATGGTTCTAGGACCTTAATTTCTGACGTTTAACTCTTTCTTAAATAACTATTAATTCGTTCTGTTCTCGACTGGAGCACTTAGTTCTTTCTTAAATTATCATATAATGCACGTACCTATTATTTGATTTTTGCTTTGTGTTTTTACTATCAGACGTACAGTAAAAATAGATATAAAAACATAAAGTTATAAAAATAAAGCAATATATATAAATATCAGCATCAGTGTTCGAGATATTACTGATGAATATTAACAGTACAATTCTATCTGTCTAACAGGTTTACAATCAAAATCACCAGGAGATAAACTAAATTACAGCTACTAAATAGTTAACTCTGATATTAATTAATATTATAAGTATATACAAAAACTTATCTTACCATCATCCATTTTTCTTCTACTACCAAAGAATTATCCGATGCTCTCAAAACCAGAAACTGGAATTTCTAAAAGAAAACAGAAAAATATGTGGATATAAATTAAGTTTTAGTTTTAACTTATTTATTAAAACAAGTTAATATAAGAAGTACTTGTCAATTAACAAAACAGAAAAACTGACACACATTAGTTGCAATAAAAGAGAAACATGAAAAAATGTTTGGGAATTTTCAATCTACATCACACTACAGTACAAAGTCTTTTCTATCATATGTTGTATGTAGGTTTAATTAATGAAAACAAACCTATCATTAATATTCGAAAGAAGTACATAGAAACCTATACGTATGAGTTGTAGATTGATTTATTGACGAATCAATCTAGGTTGTGAAATTACTACACATGGAGGAGATTAAGAGTCAATAGGAGAGGGAGTTATTGATCAACCCCTAACCAGTGGGTGTTGGGGCTATCGCAAGAAACATACCCTAAAGGTTGAAATAAAATGTCAATTAAAAATTGGGAATCAATGTTGGATTATTCTTTTGTGTTTGTAAACATGGCTTTTATGCAGATACTTTATCACCAGTAAAAGTGTAGTACATTTCTTAATACAACTTAATTGCCACCTGTGATGTAAGTGTATGTCTTTTCACTAAAGACAGAATGTTACTGTCATAAGATCAGAATGCATTGTAAGAATTTACACATGATCTCTTTCTTCGAAGTTATTCAATGAAATATTCTATTCCATTCGTTTTCGTTGGCTTAGTTTGAGGACTATTTGCAATAGAACTGCATATATGTGTGTCACAGTTGTTTTTGCTATAAGGATATTTTAAACCGTTCTTGTAATATAGAGGGTACCAACGCGTATATTGAAGAATTTTTAACACAATTATACTTTTCTCACTTAAAAGAGAAGTAAATTATCCTCATATAAATTGGTGAAACTTTGATAAAGTACTCAACACGTAAAGAAATAGTATAACGTTTACCAAAATCGTTAAGTAGTACTTAAGTATAAGGACTATAAGACACAGAGAGATGGGTAAAGATGTTATCTTTGGGATGTCATTATAGAAATCAAAAACAAACATGTAAATAATCTAGTAACATAACATAAATACAGAAACACTTGACTTTAAATTAAAGTCAATATCATTATATAAGTTAAGTATGTTTAAGGTAAGAGGCAGTAAAATATATTGAGGGGTTTTAACATTCATATATTAGATAGTATAGGCAGTATATATGAGTGCTTTATTTTGTATGATGGGCTTTTCGTAACAGTACGTGTCGTTTGAGCAGGTGTTAGGCACAGGGATGTTTCTATAGATAAGATTATAGGTGTAGCACTGCTAAAAATTCGTTAGTCATACTGTTACCTTCTGGATATTAATGTCAGATTCTACTGACGGTGGAGAAAAAAAAGGAAGAATAAAATGTTTTAAAACAGTAAAAGAACACAACCCAATCTCATTTTATAAGCAAAAACACACTCTTTATACCACTTCAAGCCTTGTTTTTAACACAATTTTGAAGTTGATATAAGAAGCACTTGTCAAATAACAAAACAGGAAAACTGACACACATTAGCTACAATAAAAGAGAAACAGAAAAATGTTTGAGAATATTCAATCTACATCACACTGTAGTACAAAGTATTTTCTATCATATACAGTGTGTAGGTTTAATTAATGGAAACACACTCTTTAGCTTCGATTATACTACTTAAAACCTTGTTTTTAACAAAATTTTGAAGTTGATATGTTTTCAGCGGTTATTGGAAGTTTTGTGCCTCGCATAACCTGGTGGTTAGGGGCGATCGACTCGCACTCTGAGGGTGGCGAATTCGAAACCCCGTCTTATATGGTTGCTGAGTTGACTTGTTGAAAACTTAATATAAAAAAACAACAAGTTTATAATCAACTATGTTTGCACTTTTAATAACTATTAAGAACATTTTGTTACATAGATCAGCAGCACTACTTAAATATTGAACAAAAACAAGAAACTGATAATCAGAATTAGTCGAGCACTTGCACCAGACAGTGGATTTACCCGCAAGCGATTTTTAAACAAAAGCCTAAAATATATTAAAACAATACACACTTAAACACACATATATACACACACCTACAATACAATTCATATCATTAGTTCTTCCTATAAGATGGTCGAAATTACGCGAGAGTTAATGTGGAATTAACTCTTTTTTTTATTTTTATCGAGTTTGGTGTATTCTATAAATTGATGTGTTTTTTAACTGGTTGGAGTTAGTAATGTAAACCTTAACGGAACTCATTTAAATGTGGTTTCATGTGTTTATGTGTGTTGAGTGTTTAATTACATATTCATATATTTCTTGAACAATACAGTAGACAGATACAAACTTAAGGACTTCTTACAAGCTGTCTTTGCTTACCAGTCATACATAGAATTGTGTTTTGGTGCCATTAATTCAAATTTTCAAATGAAGTGATTCAAAAAAAAATTAAAACAATAAACCAACATATACATATTTTTGTATGAAATCGACTAGATTTGGTTTGACTATTGAAATAAATAAGCATATATATATATATATATATGTTAGTGTTAATATATTATATGTATATTAATATAATTAACAGTGTTATATATAAGTATATTAAAATTAATGTATTTAAACGGAACTCTCTCTCTCTCTCGTTTCCTCTTGATTGAATCAACTGTTATATAATACTTCCAAATCTGCTTACCTTGTGTTTGACACATAATCAAAAGGTTGACGTATACGCAAGAAAAAGCTTGTATAATGAAAAGTCAATATTGAAAATAAGATTAAAATTACATGCTGATTTTAAAATAAAAAGTCACTTCTTAGAACTTCATGAAAGGGTTTTATAAGATAAACTCTTTAAAAACTTTGAAAATGTACTGTACCATATGCATACGTGTTCCAGTACTGTGGTATAAAAGGACAGAAACAATCGTGCATGTGATTACACGTACGCTTTGTCTCTTCTGTCTTTGCTGTAACACAGCTGTGAGTTTGCGCGTAACGCACCTGTTGAGTAACGTTGCTAATCGTATGGTATTCGTAATTTTAGTAACTGATACCAACGGAGAAGGAGAGCAACATACAGCAAAAGTTATTTTTTTCACACATTGTTAGTACGTACATCTAATGCCGTATATAGTGAGAATATGTTTGTATTAAGGTTTCTTAAAGTTTACTTATTGAAAATCAACCAACAAAAAATACAATGTTAGGTTTGAATTTCGCGCAAAGCTATTTGCTCTAGCCGTCCCTAATTTAGCAGTGAAAGACTAGAGGGAAGGCAGCTAGCCATCACCATCCACTGCCAACTCTTGAGCTATTCTTTTACCAACGAATAGTGGGATTGATCGTCACATTATAACGCCCCCACGGCTGAAAAGGCGAGCATGTTTGACGGGACGGGAATTCGAACCCGCGACCCTCAGATTGAGAGTCAAGAGCCCTAACTACCTAGCCGTGCCGTGCCAAAAAAAGATAAGATAAAAATAAAGTAGTCATAATTAAAAATTAATGCACACTGTTAATATCTCGACAGAACTGACAACTTTTAACTATTTTTCGAAATATTTCCCGTTTTGTATATTTGTTTGAAGTTACGCACAAAGCTACACAATGGGCTATTTGTGCTCTGCCTACCACGGGTGACGAAACCAAGTTTCTAGCGTTGTAAACCCGTAAACTGTGCCGCTTAGGGGGAGGGTGGTTTCCTGTTTTGAAATATTTCATCGCCAACGTTCGACCTAATTCTTTCTACATCAATGTTTCGAGTTTTTCACGTGTAACTTCTTTGACTAATGTTTAATTAAAGAACCTTCAAAGCCTAAGGAGAAGAAAGAAACCCGTTCCATCGGGACGTATATCTTGATCATTTTATTGAAATTTTAATTTTTTCTTTTTGTTTTCACGATATTTTTCAGTTTTTTTTTACTATAATGTAATCTTTGTTTGGTTTGTTTTGAATTTTGCGCAAAACTACATGAGGGCTATCTGCGCTAGCCGTCCCTAAGTTAACAGTGATAGACTAGAGGGAAGGCAGCTAGTCATTACCACCCACAACCATCTCTTGGGCTGCTCTTTTACTAACGAATAGTGGGATTGGCCATCATATTATAATGCCGCCACGGCTGAAAGGACAAACATGTTCGGTGACAAGAATTCGAACCCGCGACCCGCAGATTGCGAGTCGAGGGCGCTAACCAACAGATCATACTGTAGCCTTATTCCCATTATGATTACATTACAATAAAATTATTTTGATAGAATGGTAATTATTTTATTGTGCTCTGCTTTTTATTTATTTGGTAAGTTTGTGAATACTTACTCGCTGATTTAGCTTGCTACACAAATAGTGTTTAAAAAATGGTATTCACAAGTTTAATATTTTTGTTATTTTAAGAACCAACTATAAAGAAAGAAATCGGATTGATTTATAAAGTTTGCTGCCTTTTGTTGCATTTGGTATTCATCTTCTTTACGTAAAGGGACAGCGTGGCCCAGTGACTTAGTACTTTGGACTAGTAGTCAAAAGATTGCGACTTTAAGAATTGCTTCCACCATGTTGTTAAGTCCTTTAGCAATACACTTTACCCCAATTATTTCAGTCTTCCCAACTATATATTGGGTGCTGGGGGGGGGAGTAACTATGGGTTAACCTGCAATGAACTAGAATCCAATCCAACAGGTATGTTACCATTCTCAGTCGCTTGGCCCGTTTGAATCAGTGCGGGTTTCTGCATGGGATAGATTTGACTGACTTTTTGTAAAATCGTGTTAAATTATAAACAGGCGTGGGTTACTAGCTCATTTTCATTTCCTATTAAAATAAAATCGGCCATGAATAAAATATGTTTCATTTCGTTCCTTAGACGCAACAGTTCGAGGCATAGGTAAAGCAAGTATATTCATTAATTCCTCAATGCATTGTAATATCAAAGTTAAGCCCTGCTTTGGTTTTATTATATTAAAGGTTTACTATTTGACCAGATCTTACAAGGACCAGATTTTTCAAGATCTGTGTTAACAATTTGTATATCCAGTCACCTTTCCCCTGGCTATTCCCGTAATCTATTACTAGATAGATTAAAAATTCCTGATCGCTTCTTCTTTTTGAAGAGTTGCTTTACAAGGTTCTCCAATGAAAGGTTCTCCTATTCAGAAATGATAAAATCATTGAAGGCACGAAATTTCAGCATTTCGAAGAAAGGGATATTTATTTTGTTGAACCACTTCAGAAAAGCGAATGAAGTCGTGGTTCCAATAAGGAAAAAAACAGAGAGTGAGGTAGAGGTTACTACAAGACCAGCTACCAGCGGCACACTGAAGGTAGTGAAGAAACTTAAAGTGCTTGTCACCGGAATTAGCCCAAGAACACAGCGGCTCATCGCAGCTAAATTAGAGAACCGTCCTTAAAGATGTAAATGAGGTAATTCAGACGGACTTGGATACGCAAGAACCTTGTTCATAAGCTTTTATTAAGTTACACATTCGAACGAAAAAATCTACCATCGAAAGATATACGGAAAGCATCTGACAAATGTCAAGGAATGTCCTGTAGGTAATCAAATGTTTAAAAATGGAACAGAAAAATATGACGAAAGTTCTTCTACGGACTTATGGTAGTTGCATGTTACTATTATAGTGAGGAGCTAAACATATGAAGAGATTAGCCAATTGCAAAGATTAGCTCTGCATAGTATCAGGCTGAAATGTTAATATCACTATATCGCAAAGAAATGCAATCTATGTACGGACTGGATTCTAAGATATATGCAGAACAAAAATAATTCATACATCTCTAAACTCAATACTGACGTCCTCCTGACCTCTGGTTAGTTTAGATTTTTCCTACTGTCTTTCTTAAAGTATTTATGTTCCAAAACAGAAAAAAAGTTACATAACAGGCAATCGCAAAGCGCAAAATCAAATATATTTTAGTGGAATTATAGATAAACTGCCTCTTTTTTTTCGTGATGTTTAGACAAGTTTTATTAGAAATTTACAGATGTTTGAACATAAATCAGTTATTATATATGTGTTAAAGATATGGTGGAATAAAACGGACTCAAAACCCAATAGATATGAACTAAATTTTAAATGTGCCTTTTATATTATTATTATTAAAGATTTTTCAGACTATCTAAGTGTCTTTAAAACACATTTAGCCCTAATTTGTAGAATAAAGTATTTTTGCACCTCTTTTGTTTATATTGTGATATCAGTTGTCTCTACCATGGAGAATTGAATCCTAGATTTTAACGTTAAAATTGTCTCACCGAGAGACTTTGTACTTCCTCCCTACTACTTTCAACAGTTTAGGAAAAGTTAAAATAACTCATGGTTAACTGTGTGTCGCTGCTGCCATCTACTAGTCAATAATACAAGTAACCATAAAGTCAAATAATCAAGTTATGTAGATCATCTTTGATTTTCTAATATTATTTTGTCTCAATAGGTTTATCGACACCCTTTCTGTCCCCAACTGGTTTTCATGAACTGTTTCTACCCACTGATAATATCATCATGCTCAACAAGAAACCACAATGAAACAACAGAAACTGTTAACACGAGTTGAAATGATTCTTGAATGATAGCATCTTTTAAGAAATTGGATTCTTACGAAATGCATATTATGCAAACATATTTTTTTAAAACAACTGAATATTGTAATATTTTATTCGTAACTTTGTTTAACGTAAACTGGTGTTCATCACGATGCATTTCTATTAAAGTGAATGAAATAAGGACCTATATTTACTGAATGTATCTTTATTAACTCAATATTCCGCTATTACAGCTTCGTCATGAGTTATCGTTTACTGATCCAGTTGAAACCCGAAGCATCTCGAATCGAAAGATATTCGAGCAGCATCTAGCATATGATAAGTGTCAAAGAACGCCATTAATTATAATTCTGTCTGTAATAGAACGTTTAAAAAATGGAACAGCTTAAGTTAGCTTAGTGAACTTTTAGGCTATCGATAGCTGTAATAGCGAAATCTGAGCCATTAAAGACACTTTCTGGAGATATAGCTTGTTATTTTATTTATTGCAATTTCTATTCATATAAATAAAATAACAACCTATATCTTCAGAAATATTTTATTTAGAGACTGGTTTAAATTCTGGGATCGAATGCGGCCTGGTGGTAGATTGTGGAGTTGTGGTTTCACCGATCGCTTCCTGTTGCTGTCAAAAATAAAAATCTCTCTCTGTACTTTATGAGTGTGGGTGAGTTATAAGAATGACAGTCAAAACCTACTATTCGGTCTAACAAGAGTAGCCCAAAAGTTTGCGGTAGGTAGTATTGACTAGCTGACTTGCTTCTAAAATTATGGACGGATAATCAGTTTTAATACTTTGCTGAAGTATAATTCTCTTAATTTTTTTAAAGTTTCAATTTCCAACTTTTTTTTTTTCCTGTGTACCCTAAAAACAAAATTTGCGAAAAGTTATAGTAGACAGATTGGGGCTCAAAAACACGAGTACACAGCCAGAAATGTTACGAATATTTATTCAGTGTCAACAAACAATTCATATCAATTAAACAATGTTCACCTTTGAGTCCAATGCGTATCAAGACAAGTAACTGTACATAGAGGTGTATATGTGTGTGGTGTGCCGGGTTGATTCGACGCATGCTCAGTAATATTTCTACACAAAAAATATAATTAACTATAAAACCTTTCAATTTTATTCCACAAACTATTGCATATGTTATAATCACAATGCATAACTTCTGTTTCTAATTATACACATGTGTTTGAAAGTTTACTATTTAAAACTATTTACATAATTCTGATAGACAAGTGTGCTAAACCTGGAATATTTGACTCTTTGAAATATAGTTTTGTTGCCTTCATCCAAATATTACACTTGTCACTGAACTGTGCAAAGGAGCTTAATCTAAAATAAAAAAAAGATATTAATAAAAATTGACATTTTTTCTCAATACCTACCTGAACTGTTCCTAATCTTAACTCTTTTATCAGAAAAAAAAAGAAAATATTAATAATATTAATATTAGTTTTAAATATTAATATTAATAATACTGTTTTAAAGAGATGAAGCATTTTTCGCATTCTTTTTTAATAATGTATTGGAGATTTCGGTTTCTCAATTTTGCTGTGCTGAAACGACAAGGAAGAATAAAAGGCTAGTAATTAAAATGGATTCGGCTAAAATATATCTCTCGTGTTTGTCCATTAAGTCCATAAAAAATCACACTTTATTCGTTGTTAAAAGAGTAGCCCAAGAGTTGATGGTGGGTGGTAATGACTAGCTGCCTTCCCTCTAGTCTATCTCTGCTAGATTAGCGCAGATAACGCTGATGTAGCTTTGGGCGAAATTCAAAACATACCAAATCAGGTCGCATTGTAACTTAAAAACTTAAAATAATTATAACACCTGCATGAAATTTTTAAAGGGTAAGACCACAAAATCAATATGATAAATATTTGAAGGAACCTTTCTAAAAAAATGTAAAATGTATAAAGTGTTGCGTAATTTCGAACTCAGTTATGACGTGTTTAAATTTTATAAGGTGCTCTTTACGAATTTTTACAATAAATATAAGTTCAGTTGATATAACAGTTATATGATTTTAGCAGTTTCGATAGAATTGGAAAGATATAAATAGAAAAGAATCCAGATATATGTATATTATACCAACTTATATTGCCCTTTTTAGAATCTAGCATAGTATATATTGCTACGCTTTTTTTACCCAGAAGAATTAATTACTATTAACACGCTCTCAAACGTATTGTGAATAAGAAACCACGACCATGCATTACCTTTGTTGTTATATAAATAACAATAATATATATATTATTATCATCGTCAATTAATTTACAAATTAGGCCTTACATTAATATGTGATATTTTATACTCGTAAATACCTTTTTAATTCATTTATTGTAGCGCACCAAATGGTTTTAAAGTAATTTCAGCAGTTGGGTTTCACATATCATGATGTATTTTTATTCCTGTAAGGAATGTAAGACAGTCGATTCTTTTTCAATCTATATCACTGAATGTTTCTTTAACTTTAACAATGATTATTTTTAAATACGATATGATATGTCGAAGTGGTATCTTTTCTTCGTGTGTTTATTTAAAAAAAAAAAACTTAATTATCTATTTTTAACTATGTATGAATAAAGTAATGAAAATAATAGAAATTTCAAAAAATAAATTCACACAGAAGGAAATAGCTATGGAAAGATATAAAAAAAACGCAGTTAATCAGTTAAGATTTAATTTTATTGTTTGTTTGTTTGGAATTAAGCACAAAGTTACACAATGGGCTATCTGTGCTCTGCCCACCACGGGTATCGAAACCCGGTTTTTAACGTTGTAAGTCCGCAGACATATCGCTGTGCCACTGGGTGGCTAATTTTATTCAACAAGTTTTGTAAACAAAGGACCACTTATGGAAAATAGAGCAAAAATATCTATTAAACAGAAAATAAATATATCTATCACTTTTTATATAACGATGGAATAGTTTTTACTTACACGTAGACTGACTTTTATTTGCTAGTTTAAAGTTTAAAAATATAAACAATTATAGGCAACCGTATGGACAATGTATCTATCACCTTTTATTTGCTAGTATAAAAATATAAACAATTATAGGCAACCGTATGGACAACGCATCTATCACATTTTATTTGCTACTATAGAAATATAAACAGTTATAGGGCAACGTATTTAATTATCCCCTTTTATATAACGTAGACTGACTTTTATCTGCTAGTTTAAAAATAGAAACAACTATAGGCAACCGTATGGCCAACGTATCTATCACCTTTTATATAACGTAGACTGACTTTTATTTGCTAATTTAAAGTTAAATATAAACAATTATAGGCAACCATGTAGACAATGTTTGGCCTTTAATACTGAATATTTCTTAAAACTATACATAATTATTGTAACTGTTATACTTATTACCAATTATTTAAAACTATTTTGCTTCTTACGAATATTCTTTCTACTTATTTTGGGGGCTTGACGTCACTGTATTATCATCCAATCATAAGAGCCATGACCCAGAACTAGATGATTAGTATTACTTGTTATCTTAGTTGCGAACGCTTTATAAGAAGTAATAACACCATTCCAGCTGACTAACAAGAGTATTTTCTGTGCTCAACATCATGAGAGAAATTATTCACGTTCAGGCGGGTCAATGTGGTAACCAGATAGGATCCAAGGTAGGAATGTTTTATTGGTTTGTGTTTCACTGAAAATGTGTATAACCAGATAGGATCCAAGGTAGGAATATTTTATTGGGTTGTGTTTCACTGAAAATATGTATAACCAGATAGGATCCAAGGTAGGAATATTTTATTGGGTTGTGTTTCACTGAAAATATGTATAACCAGATAGGATCCAAGGTAGGAATATTTTATTGGGTTGTGTTTCACTGAAAATATGTATAACCAGATAGGATCCAAGGTAGGAATGTTTTATTGGGTTGTGTTTCACTGAAAATATGTACACATTTGTGAATACACACATGTATTTATTACCCATAAATAAGCTCTTATAGCCACGTGTTGATGTGAATATGTTACTCTTTTGCTTGTTTGACTCTTGCACATTTACTGCTCATATCTATATACAAACATGGCGTTAATTAACAAATACCAGCCCTTGAAACGTAGGAAAAGATTTTTGTAATCTGTTTCAATAGTAAAAATAATAAGTCCTTAATACCTAGCAAATAATAAGGACAGTTTAATGCAAGAACTATATCTGTAGTTAAAATAATAACATGAATTTATGATAATTTACTTTGTTCAGCAATTCCGATAGGATTTGAAAGAGAGAGAAAAAAAAGGAGTAAATAAGTTTGCTAATTCTGTTTACTCCAATCTTTCTACAATACATTTAATTCATAAATAACCATTAATATCACGCGCATGTTCTATAGGTTCTTTCTGAGGCCAGTAAACCTTGTTGCAGTACAGAAATACGGTGATCCACTTGAAAAAAATTAACAGTTTAAAGTGTCAATAACTTATTTAAAATCGTAATTGCAAGAGTAAATTCAAATCGATTGCTGTTAATTCATTGTTATGAAATTGATCATAAAGGTGTTATGAGCTGTTTTGTTATGTAAATTGTATATCAGGTTCATCTGCGAAACATTCCGAGTAGGTGTCATGTATTTTAAAAAGAGATCAGTGTTCCTACCTGTTAACTTTCGAAACGTGAATGAATCATACTTTGATATCTTGGTACTCGATAGTTCTCTAGATTTTATCACGTGTTTGTTTTTTCTTATCAGAGAGTAGAGAGCTCTAGAATTGTTTTAGTTTAATAGACGTCAAATAATTAAAGATATCTCATTTTTCCAGCACGTAGAGATAGCGACAATAAAAACAATGATCGATTGTCGAACTTTGAGACTCCTCCCAGGTATATTTTTTGACTTCTTCGTAAACGCTTTACAAATACTATCTTCAACCAATATTATATCACACTTATCTCAGTACAAGTAGATTATGATTTAATTTGCTTAACCTCCCACGGCTTAGTGTGCTATTTTCTTGTTTTGCTTTTGCAAGCCACTTGAATGCAACTGTGCTAATTTCTTAATCTCTTTTTCTTGTTGCATATGTCATTGCTACAGACATATAGATCTGATACACACAAACACGAACAATAGCCACTATCTCCTATCTCCACCCTTCAATACAGTAGTCATAGTTCGTAGTAATTAGATTTAAGGTACACATAAGTCTGAGAGATAATTATAATATTCCAAAAATAGCTGAAGTGTGAAACAATGCCATCCAAGTATAAGCAAATATTTAACTTTTCTCTATTTGAAAGAAATAACAATAAAATAGCTTTAGCATAAAGTGATTAGCTTAACTCACTTGGTTTTTACTCTATAGTTTTATATGAAAAAGTGACAACGATGTGTCATACGACGACACAAATCATCAAGTAAATTCGTGTAAATTAACAGTATTCTTCCATAATGATTCTTTATCTTATGTTTGTTTGTTGTTAAGCACAAAACTGCATATTGGGTTATGTGTGCTCTGCCCACTGCAGATATCAAAGCCCGATTTTTAGCGTTCTAAGCCCCAAAATCTTACCGCTGAGCCATCGCTAAGTGTATATGTTATGAAGTACACTACAAGCTTATTTGTTTCAGATTTTAAGCAGCTGCTCTGTAACAACTATCGCCACCTAGAAATTACATCGCATTTGACTGTAAAAATACAGAATTTAAAGGGTGAACTTTTATAATTATACGCTAAATTGTGTTTACTGCTCAATATTAATGCTTCTTTTTTTTTAAGAAGTTAACACTATTCTCAAAAGACTCGTGTTTTTATATTGTTATTTTACTTTCATCATAGTTTTGGGGAGTAATATCGGATGAACATGGTATTGATCCTAATGGGAATTATAAGGGAGACTCGGATCTTCAGCTTGAGAGAATAGACGTTTATTACAATGAAGCTTCAGGTGAGACCCTATTTCAAGCGTTCCATATGCATTATAATTTAAACTTTTTTTTCTTCTAATAATAAATATGCCAAAATTCAATTAATTAATTCCAGTTTTTATAATAAATAATAACTCGGTTTTCATATCCGTAAGATGTGTCATTGCCAGTTTATTCCTATAAACGGTTTTAATACGTTTATTTCTATGACATGACACTTATTTATGTTGTCTAGATTTTGTTCATGAAAAACAAAAAAGTTCCATAAAGTTTTCTCTTTAGTGATTTAGAAACATTTTTTTAGTTTTATGAATTCTCATGAATATTAAAACAATAAATAATACAGTTATATAAAGCTGTGCCACTTAATGTTGCTGTTTTTATTATTACGGTCAGTTTTTTGTTTGTTTTGTTTTTCATTATTTGACCAGGAGGAAAGTACGTTCCTCGAGCTATTCTGGTGGACCTGGAGCCTGGGACAATGGACTCGGTTCGATCTGGTCAGTTCGGACAGCTATTTAGACCTGACAACTTTATTTTTGGTAAATATTTCTGTTATTTTTCTTAATTAAAGCTTAGTATCTTGTTCAATATTTATTTTTGTTTAGTACAGTACCTTCAATTACATTTAAAAAGTTTTTTTTCTTTCTTTTATGTGAGCTGCAAGACACTTCACGTTCACCAGCATTCTGTGCTTAACCCTCACGTTTGCTGCCATTCTAAAATAGCAGTTTACCTTCTTATTAACGAATGGAAATTGCACTTTCAAATTTATTTTTTCAGATGACTTATGTTTCGTTTTATTTTAATCTACTCTATTGAAAGAATAAGTAAACGATTTGATTCCATAAACTGAATGGAATAATCGTCAGACCCTCCAGAGATTGAATTGTAGATAAAAATTGTGTTTACTCAACACTCATTTATATGCATAAAGTTGTAGTGTTGTTTTACAGGTCAGAGTGGGGCTGGTAATAACTGGGCTAAGGGACATTACACTGAAGGTGCTGAATTAGTGGATATAGTCATGGATGTGATGAGAAAAGAAGCGGAAAGTTCTGACTGTCTGCAGGGTTTTCAAATGACCCATTCACTAGGTGGCGGCACAGGTTCTGGTATGGGAACCCTCCTTATTTCTAAGATTAGAGAAGAATATCCAGACAGGATTATGAGTACTTTTTCTGTGTTTCCTTCTCCTAAGGTAAGCGACTTTCAAATAAAAACAACTAAAAAGACTAACGGTGACTATTATAGAAATTATTCAAAAATACTCAACATTTTAAATATAACATTTCATAAACAAACAGTTGTTTTTTGTTTAATCAGTTATTGGTACCGTTAATCCACAGGTTGTTTGTTTGTTTTAGAGCAAAGCGATATGAAACTATTTACTCTCTCCACCGCGGGGAATCGAACGCCAGATTGTAGCGTTGCAAGTCCATACACTTACCGCTGTTCCACAGGGCAACAAATCCACACTTAGTGAAAAACAAGAAACCCATTAAGTGACAACTGTTTGCACGTGCAAGTGATCATTTACACAGTCAGTGAAAAACAAGAAACACATTAAGTGCCTAGAGAGGTTTTAACCACTCGCACCACTTTACAGTAGTATGTTGTCTGTCAGTCGGTCATTAGACACTAAAATGATGTCACCTAAGGGACGCTTAAAGCTGCAATTTGTACTGTCGTGACGTCAGTAAAACGTGTGCATACCATGAATCAGAAGAAGAATTATGCATTCTGTAGGCTACAATAGAGCATGACATATGAACTTCAAAAGCAAGGAATAAAAATGTTTTTTCTTTCTTAATTTTGGTTTTATTTATTGTTGAAATAGAATACATCCGTGAACCCTGCGGAACTACATCTAGTATTAGTGTATACTTTGAAAACACTTGACAAAGAAACAAAAGCTTGTGAGCTAAACACACATATTTTTGTCTTAGTTAAACTCTCCAGTGGCTCAGTGGTAAGACTGGAGACATATAACGCTAAAAACCAACTTCGATACCTGTAGTGGACACAGCACAGACAGTCCATTGTGTTGGTTGGTTTTGAATTTCGCGCAAAGCTACACGAGGGCTATCTGCGCTAGTCTTCCTAATTTAGTAGTGAAAGACTAGAGGAAAGGCAACTAGTCATCACCACCACCGTCAACTCTTGGGTTATTCTTTTACCAACGAATAGTGGGATTGATCGTCACATTATAACGCCCCCACTGAAAGAGCGATCATATCTGATGGAACAGGGATTCGAACCCGCGTCTAGTGGGTACCTTTGTGCTTAACACCAAAGAAACAAGCAAATCTTAGTCAAGCTTGCCCAAAGTCTCGATGACAGCATCCTACGTAACCGCTTTATTCCTTTTCGTGTTTTGAAGCAAATAATAAGTATTCAACACTGTAAGCATTTTATCTCACTGAGGAGGTATAGGTGAACCCTAAGTACAAGAAAATATACTCACTTTCTGAGAATACTGGGAGTGTATAATTTGTACCAAGAAATAGTACTGGTTGTTTAACGTATTTATCTATTTAATAACAATAACTATAGGGTGTTTCATGTTTATTCATGAATTATGTAAATTTTTCAAACTCATTATTACCTTTGGAATATTGATCAAAACATCAAATAAATATCAGTGGGAGTATGTATTTGTTCAATCGCAAAGCCACACAATAGAATATCTGCGCTCTGTCTACCACGAGGAATCGTACCCCGGATTTTAGCGTTGTAAGCCCGTTGTAACAAAAATGTTAGTGAAGCAACATACTTAGTAAAGTGAATAAAAAATACGTTTGGTGAAAACCATTTTTTATGTCGGTATTCCTTCATTTATTTTGACTACTAAACGTAAAAAAGGAAAATATTAAAGAGAAATTAATCGAACTTTAAAAGCATAGTATTATTTATCAACGAAGTATCTAATAATTGTTTGAAGACCTGACAGAAGTTATATTATATATTTTTTTTATTTCATTATTTCCGTCAGAACGTAAGCCTGTATCAGCATCTGCTCACATTACTGAACTGTTAATAATATTTGTATATCAAATTATGGTATTACAATAATTGTCATAGAAACAGAAATTAACTTCACTCTCAGAAGTACGTGAATTCCACTTAGTGACTGGAGTGAAAAAGCTTTTAACCACAACACGATAATGAAACATCCTTTGTTTCGGCTGTTTATTGACTTCACGTTTTGCCAATTTCACGAATAACAGAAAGTTTTTATTTGAATATATTTATATAGATGGATAGAACAGATCACACAATTCCTCTCTATTGTATGTGTTTTACGCAGAAAACTATAAATTCTTCAAACAATAATAGTCATTATGAAGTTAATGTCTTCTTTCAGGTATCCGAAACTGTAGTAGAACCCTACAATGCTACATTGTCCGTACATCAGCTGGTAGAAAACACAGACCAAACGTTTTGCATCGACAACGAGGCTCTGTACGATATATGCTTTCGTACTCTCAAACTTAGAAATCCCTCATATGGTGACCTGAACCACTTGGTGTCAGCCTCTATGTCTGGTGTAACCACATGCCTAAGGTTCCCTGGGCAACTGAACGCTGACCTCCGTAAACTTGCAGTCAACATGGTACCATTCCCTCGTCTTCATTTTTTCATGCCTGGGTTTGCTCCGCTCACTTCTAGAGGGAGCCAGCAGTATCGTGCTGTTACAGTGCCGGAGCTGACACAACAGGTGAGATAACTACATCGTGGAAATATTTCTCTAGCTACTTGTAAAAATTAATCATTCTTCATGCCTAAGAATTGATTGGGTTTGCTCTGCTCATTTTTAGAGGGAGCCAGCAGTACCGTGCTGTCACAGTGCCGGAGCTGACACTGAATTGCTCTTCATGTCTGAAACGTCACTTAACATTAAAATCATAAATAATATTCAACGTTAAACTGGTACACAATTAAAAACATTTTATTTATTTGAGTATGACGTTGTAACGTCGAAACATGTAGAGTCGTCAACTTTTTGAAGGCCATAGATAGGCCTAAGTAAAATGTT